TTTGGCGACATCTAGTGGAGAAAGTGTAGAACACACGTCCACCGTTCACTGCACAGATGGAAAATATTTAACCATTTAAAGATTTTATTGTCCACAGACTCTGAACAAAACCACAGCACGACTCAAACGGACCGACGCTCTAACGTGACACTGCTTCTGTTTGTGCGCAGGTGAAGATCTGGTTCCAGAATCGCAGGATGAAGTGGAGGAACTCGAAGGAGCGCGAGCTTCTGTCGTCCGGAGGCTGCCGCGAGCAAACCCTGCCCACCAAATCCAACCCCCACCCCGACCTGAGCGACGTGCACGGCTCCAGGGCCGAGGACGAGGAGGAGAACGACGAGGACTTCCTGGAGAGTCACATGACGCTGGCGGGCTCCTCCCCCTCGGCGTCGTCCAAACACTCGGACTCGGACTCGGACGACGAGATCACGGTTTCGTAACGATGCTCCTCTGACGCCAACGGGACAAAAGAAGGACGCGTGTTTCAAACCACTTCAGAAAAACAATCGAAACACGAAACACGTCACTGGTTTAAAAAAACATCTTCGACACTCTGTAAAATAAAACTTTCTACCAGTAAAGTCACACCAATAGAAAACTTAAAACGACAAAAATGAGTTTCAGTATTGATCAGAAACAAGACAGACATTTATTTGTTTAAAGTCGGGCGTACACTGTGTGAGATTTTCAATGGTTTCACTCAAACTGTTCGACCAAATCTCAGGGTTTAAAAGTTCACAGCTCACGATTCATTTTCTAAAACTGAACGAGCAAAAACCCTCACAAGGCGACTGGATTTCGACCTTCGATTGTTGATCAGGAGCTGGTCGTGAGGTATTAATCGCTTCTCGTTACCCCATGTTTAAGACACGAAGCACGACACATGTTTAAGACAAAACTCGATCCCAAAAACAGTCACACGAGAGAAAAATCGTCTCAAAAAAGGCAAAAAATCGCACCGTGTACGTCCGACTTAAAACAAAACAAAAGTCACAAAATCTTTCTCCGTCAGTCCATGTGTTTTGTAGATTCTGGAGGTTCTGTACATTTCTCATTTGGTTTTTTTCAGACTTCTGAAAAAAACAAAAACAAGTAATATTATAAATTTTCAAAAATTCGATGGGAAAACTGAATGAAAATGTACTTCTGGAACTCTCTGAAGCTCTGATTTACTCTTCAAACTCCGTTAATGTCCCAGCACTTGAAGCGTTACAAACCAGAAGTGTTCAGAAACATCCTTAAACTGATCGAATAATCGTAATTTTAATGAGCGAACGAACTTCTCCTCAAAACAAAATTGATATTTTCTGGATTTGGGTCAGACAGATTCTCCTTTTTTTGCGTCACGTGGAAGAGTTTGAGGACATTTGTTTTTGTTTTGTTTGTTCTTTCAAAGTGTAAAATAAACCCTGGTCGCAGCAGAGTTTTGAAAGGAGCCGTCTTTGTCGTCAGCACTATTTGGAGTTTTATTGAAAGCTGGCTCCTCTCGAACATTTGACCAAAACAGAAGATGAAACCCGTGAAAAGGCTGCGGGCATTGAGGCAGAGGACCTCCGAGGAGGAGGAGGACCTCCGAGGAGGAGGAGGACCTCCGAGGAGGAGCACCTCCGAGGAGGAGGACCTCCGAGTGTTGAGCCTCCGAGGAGGAGGAGGACCTCCGAGGAGGAGGAGGACCTCCGAGGAGGAGGACCTCCGAGGAGGAGGAGGAGGACCTCCGAGGAGGAGGAGGACCTCCGAGGAGGAGCACCTCTGTCGTGTTCTGGTCGCGGTGGGCCTCTGCAGGTTTGCTGTTTTTGCACAGCTGTTGGACTGTACAGGATTTTGTACACGTTTGTATGGAAGTTTTAAGCCAAGATTTACTTTGAACAATAGAGCTGTTTATTGAAGATGGAAATGTAGTTATTTCTTTAATAATTTATATTTGTATGTTGTATTATGTCCTGTAAATATGTTTATTTCACTTTTGTATAAATGCCAAATAAAACTGTAAGAATTTCAAGTTCTGCTCTTCAGACGTTTTCTTTCTGATAAACAGTGTTGGGAAGTTTACTTTTAAAATGTAATCCCCTACAGATTACAGATTACACACACCAAAATGTAGTTTGTAACAGAATCAATTAAATTACTTACAGTGAGTAATGTAATCTGATTACTTTGGATTACTTGATTTGCTGTAGAGAAACAAAGACGAGGAAATCTTCACATAAGAAGTTTTGTCTGATAAAAGAAAATAAAAAGTCCAAACTTTACTGAACCAAATTAAAAATATTATTGATAGAAAACGAAGAAACACGTCCACACAGCAGGATTTAGTCCTGGTTTAGTCCTGTTTTAGACCTGGTTTAGTCCTGGTTTAGTCCTGTTTTAGTCCTGGTTTAGTCCTGTTTAGTCCTGGTTTAGTCCTGGTTTAGTCCTGGTTTAGTCCTGGTTTAGTCCTGTTTTAGTCCTGGTTTAGTCCTGGTTTAGTCCTGGTTTAGTCCTGTTTTAGTCCTGGTTTAGTCCTGGTTTAGTTCTGGTTCAGTCCTGGTTTAGTCCTGGTTTAGTCCTGTTTTAGTCCTGTTTTAGTCCTGGTTTAGTCCTGGTTTAGTCCTGGTTTAGTCCTGGTTTAGTCCTGTTTTAGTTCTGTTTTAGTCCTGGTTTTAGTCCTGGTTTAGTCCTGTTTTAGTCCTGGTTTTAGTCCTGGTTTAGTCCTGGTTTAGTTCTGGTTTAGATCTGTTTTAGTCCTGTTTAGTCCTGTTTTAGTCCTGGTTTTAGTCCTGGTTTAGACCTGGTTTAGTTTCCAGGAATAAGTGGAATTACCGGAAAAACAAAAGGGGGATTTAGCCCAAAATGTGAAAACAGTAAAATCCCTCTGTTTAATCCATTTATTTTAACAAAGTAACTGTAATCCAATTCCAACTCACTGAAACAGTAACTGTAACTGAATACAGTTACTCATCATTTGTACTCTGATTACTCCAGTACTTGTAATCTGTTACTCTCCCACACTGTTGATGAATATATCAAATATGAAGTGCATCTTTAGAGCAGCAGAGGGCGACGTGGGACCAAACACAGAGTCTGATCATTCACTTGTTTGATCCTGATGAGTCATTTCCAGAGGAACAGTGAAGAATCGATTCGTTTTATCCTTTCAGAGCTTCTAGAACAACAAATACACAACAAAACCTGCCCATGTTTCTCCGACGCTGCTGAAGTCAATCACACAGTGTGTCCGGTGTCATGGCGGCGTAGGTACTGTTGCCATGGAAACACGTGACGGTGCAAAGCCTCTATTCATAATATTATAATATTTGGTAAAAGAAAGATGATTTGTGTAATAGATTTGTGTTTCTCTGCACAAATATTTGAACTTCTTGTTATTTTTGGGTTTATATGACATGAGTTTTCTGATCCAGACCCCGGAACAAAATGAGTTTGACTCTCCTGGTTGTTTTCCAGTGTTTTTTTGTTATATCTGCAGTGTCGGAGTAACAGATTACAAGTACTGGAGTAATCAGAGTACAAATGATGAGTAACTGTATTCAGTTACAGTTACTGTTTCAGTGAGTGGGAATTGGATTACAGTTACTTTGTTGAAATAAACGGATTACACAGAGAACTAAACCAGGTCTAAACCAGGTCTAAACCAGATCTAAACCAGGACTAAACCAGGACTAAACCAGGACTAAAACCAGGACTAAACCAGGACTAAACCAGGTCTAAACCAAATCTAAACCAGGACTAAACCAGGTCTAAACCAGATCTAAACCAGATCTAAACCAGGATTAAACCGGGTCTAAACCAGGACTAAACTCTAAAACCAGGACTAAACCAGGACTAAGTAAACTAAACCAGATAAACCAGGAAACCAGGTCTAAACCACCAGGTCTTAAACCAGGACTAAACCAGGACTAAACCAGGACTAAACCACTAAACCAGGACTAAACCAGGTAAACCAGGTCTAAACCAGGACTAAACCAGGACTAAACCAGGACTAAAACCAGGACTAAACCAGGTCTAAACCAGGTCTAAAACTAAAACCAGGGTCTAAACCAGAACTAAACCAGGACTAAATCAGGGCCAATTTGAAGAATTTTCAGGATGTGTTTGGTACATTCATGTCACTTTAAAAAACATGACAATATCAAGTAATCCAAAGTAATCAGATTACATTACTCACTTTAAATAATTTAATGGATTACGTTACAAACTACATTTTGGTGTATGTAATCTGTAATCTGTAGGGGATTACATTTTAAAAGTAAACTTCCCAACACTTTGTATCTGTATATAAAAGTGCACGTGCATAGTTCCTGACGTTTCTCTCGGTGCGTCGTGTTTCTGTCTAAAAGAAAACTGCAGTTCACTTCTAATCCAACAGAGGGCGCCAAAGACCACCGTAGCGTTTCAGTTCCCCGTGTTTGTTTGTATCGACAGTCCATATTAGGTCTGGGCGATATGGATCAAAAAATATATATCGATATATTTTGCTAGATCTCGATATACGATATCTGTACAGGAAAAAATAACCCCTTAAAACGGAAAACTGCAAAAACAAATCTGCCAAATTCCACAAGGTTCTTTTTTTTTTTTTTTAATTAAGTGTAAGAGGTCGACAGTTCATACAGGAACATTTAAGATTACAAAAACCCTAATTACATAAATAATAATTTAACTGTGAAAATAAAAGAAATAAAACATATTTCCTTCTTTTCATTCATAAATAAAACAACTCAACACAAGCTCATCTTTGCATTAACTCTGTTCTCCAGACCAGAACCAGAACCAGAACCAGAACCATGAGCTCCTTCAGCAGAAGAAGCTCAGGATGTTCCTTATTTCAATAGATTCATGTTCCAGCAGTGAGGATCTGAGGTTTAATCCCACAATCCACTGCATCAAACCCAACGATTCCAAACACTTTTGTACAAGTGACACTGCAGCAGATTATTCATTAAAATCTTCTGCATAAATAGAATTTACATGACTAAACTTCACAAGATATAAACCATAACGACTCAAGAGCCACATCAGCCCGTTGGAGATTATACTGTTCATTTTATTTTATTTTATTTTATTTTTATTTTTGCAGCTTTGCGCAGACTTGTTTACTTTTTACAGAAACGAAACTTAAAAAGCGCATGGCTAATTTGCATAAACAGCGCACTCCACGTGCCGCTCATGTGGTTCAACTTCTTTTGGACTGAGGGACGTGACTGGGTGGAACATGAGGATGTGCTGCTGCTGCTGCTGATGGTTTTGTCTGTAAATGGTGGAAAAGTTTCCTGGCGCTAGAACAGAGATGTTCACACTTTTACATCATGTGAGTTACTTACAAAATGACCAAGTCAAAATGATCGACCTGATACAAAACCAAACAAACTGCACTGAAACACTCTGTGCCCCTTTTCTGGAGCCTCCCCCACAGTTTGAGAACCTCTTCTTTAAGAGAACTTCC